AAAATCCACCAGGGCTCCCCAAAAACGTACACGGGCACCAGCGGGGCCCTGCGGGCACCCCAAAATCTGACAGGGATCCCCAAAATCCACCAGAGATCCCCAAAAATCCCAAAATCTGACAGGGATCCCCAAAATCCACCAGAGATCCCCAAAATCCACCAGGGATCCCCAAAAATCCCAAAATCCACCAGGGCTCCCCAAAAATCCCCAAAATCTGACAGGGATCCCCAAAATCCAACAGGAGCTCCCCGGAATTCAGGAGGGTCTCCCTGAACCCCAAAACCCCCTCCAAGAAACCTCAAAAACGGCCCAAGTTTCTCCCAAAATCTCCCAAATCTTCCCCAAAATCCCTCAACGCCATCCAAAAATCCCCCCAAAAATCCCAAAATCCCCCCAAAAAACCCCAAAATTCCCCAAAACCCGACCAGGTCACCCCAAATCCCCTTCAAATCAGCCCAAAATAGGCCCCAAAAATTGCCCAAAAAAACCCCAAAACCCACCCAAATCCCCCAAAATCTCCCCAAAAATCCCAAAAATCCCCCAACACCATCCAAAAATCCCCCCAAAAATCCCAAAATCCCGTTAAAATCCCCCAAAAATTCCCCAAATCCCGACCAGGACCCCCTAAAACCTCCCTAAATCCCCTCCAAATCAGCCCAAAATAGGCCCCAAAAATTGCCCAAAAAAACCCCAAAACCCACCCAAATCCCCCAAAATCTCCCCAAAATTCCCAAAAATCCCCCAACACCATCCAAAAATCCCCCCAAAAATCCTAAAATCCCCCAAAAAATCCCCCAAAATTCCCCAAAACCCAACCAGGTCACCCCAAAAACCGCCCCAAATCCCCTCCAAATCAGCCCAAAATAAGCCCCAAAATTTTCCCCAAAAAAATCCCCAAATCCCCCAAAATCTCCCCAAAAATCCCAAAAATCCTCCAAAAAACCAAAAATCACCCCAAATCCCCCAAAACCCCTCCAAAAATGGCCCAAAAATCGCCCAAAAATCACCGAAAAATCACCAAAAAAACATCGAAAACAGCCACGGAACCGCCCGAATTTTGCCCGAAATCGCCCGAATTTTGCCCGAAATCGCCCGAATTTTCCCGAAATCGCCGGAATTCGCCCCAGACTCACCCGTGGCGCAGGGCCAGGCGCACGAAGCCGCGGCGCCGGCGCAGGGTGACGCGGTGGCACCCAGGGGTGCCCTCGAGCGCCTCGGCCGCGCCGCCCACCACGATCAGCAGCGCCCGCGAGCCCCGCGCCAGGACGGCGTCCAGGCAGCGCCGGCTCACCGGGCAGAGCCCTGGAAATCATCCCAA